TATCTATCTATCTATCTATCTATCTATCTATCTATCTATCTATCTATCTATCTTTTTATTTTAGATTTATTGATGGATTTTGTGGTTATAATTTTTATATAATTGCTTAGTTGTGGATATTGCACCATGCATGTTTTGTTGTTAATTCTTGACTGATATCCAATGAGAGTAGATTGATGAAGAAGGCTAAAATGAATAAATAAATCAATAAACACACAAAACATCTTGTGATCCAGACAGGGCAGTGAGGCAGGACCACTGTCTCTTATTCCTTTAAAGTTATGTGACTTGGCTCCTAGAGCTACATGGAAGGATAGCAGCTTCTACATGAGGCCAAATGAGCGTCAATGTACAGTTCCCAAAGAGGCAGTCAGCACTACAGCATCTGTATAGACTGCCAGGGTTCCTCACCAAAACTGGCCAGTAAATCACAGATGATCAGGCACTTCACAGCTTAGCTCATCTCTGTTGTTAGACTTGGTAGAACACTCATAGAGGTGGCTTGGCCAAATCAAAATCTTTATTGCAAACAAGAATTAATCATTATACCCAGCAGTTGATTGTTTATTGCAGTGCAAAGATGTCATGGACTTTTATACATTTTCAGGTGCAAAAACTCAAGGTTTCTTCCTCCAACCCTTTTGAATCAAGGGGTACACGGCATAGCACTTGGTGGCCTTGAAGCTGAGCACTTTTTGAATGGTTATGTCATTGCCATCTCTGGCCTGGGAATCACTGATTCCTGTCCCGTCTGCTTGAACCCTTATATAGACTATCTCAGGGCAGTAGCCATAGTGGAAGTAATTTTTTAAAACTATTTATTAAAAATATGTGTGATAGAGACAGAAAATGCAAATCAATCCCCTACAATGTTATTTTCCTAAGTTTCAGTAAAATGTAATTCCAAAAAATTCTTGTTAGCACCTGTCACCAACCACTGACGTTGGGAACATACATTTGCTTGCTTCAGTTTACTTTTCTGTGCATTGTGATTTAATCAGAAGAATGTTGGTGTGATTCAGAAGTGTGCAATTCTTTCTGACTTCCTTGAGGCCATACATTAGTGAGGTAAGGAGATAATGAGTGTGATTAAAATAGGACAATCCATGCAGCTGAAACATAACCCTAATGAGGGTAGGGAATGTATTTTAAATCTGAACTATTCAAATTCCAAGCAATTCACTTTGAGTTTGAAACAATTGCTTTAAGCTTAAAACAGGCTGGTTTGATCATCAGAAATTGTTCTGAGCCCAAAACAGCTTTGTTTTGGGTTCAAACCACTCGATTTAAAGCTTGAAACACTTCCAAAATGATTGAAGCAGCCCATTTCAAATGCAGAATAGCTGTTTTCAACTCGAAACAAAGTTCTGAAGTCAAGATGGAAGATTTCAAATTCAAAATGTTTTGCACATCCCTACCAGTCATACATACACACCTATACAACCATCTCTCACATACCTTTAAAGCTACATTTTAAATAAATTGTACTCAAACCACATTTAAAATCCATCCTTCCTCTTCTAATCCACCAAAAAAAAAATAAACGGTTCTCCAATCTACCTTTAAAGTTGAATGGTTGCCCCCTCTTTCCTATAATCCACCTTTAAAATAAATGGTTCTCCCCTCCCTCCTTTCATTTATTTTTATTGGTTAGCTGGCTGACTGGCTGAATCATTGCTTGAGTTCTTCTACTGTGAAAGCAAGAGCGTTTGTTGTTGAAGGCACAAGGTCAGGAAGAAGTATGTTTCAGAGCAGGAAGAAAGAAGGTTATAAGTCTCAGAGGCTGTAAAAGGAATAAGTTACAACTAGGAACCTTTTTTTAAAGGTAGGCAAATGATGGGGGCATGAAGCCTGGAAGCTCTGCAACCCTCACCCAAAGCATAGCAGGGCATAGGATTTGCACACTCTAGTCTAGTTGATGATTGGTTTTAAATCGGTGAATCAACTGGTGCTTATTGAAGCAGGGGTGGGTAAATGGGGGCAGACAGCACCACCATTAGCCTCTAGGTTTTGTGGACATTGGTCACTGCCCGCCCCTTTTCCAGAAGAATATTCTCTTGATATCAGATGGCCTCTGATCCTATTAGCTTTCCATAAACCCATCAAGACCTGATTGTTCTCAGTAGGGCTTTGGGGTCTGAGTGATTGCTGTTGTCCCTCTGGGTGTGTATTGTATGTGATTGTAGATATGGGTTCCCAGTGTTCCTTGCCACTGGGAAATTTTCTTGTTATACTGTAAAGTTACTGTTTTTAATTATTACTATTTTGGAGGTCTGTAAGCCTTTCAGAGCCAGACATGACTGTAGCAGCACAGAAGTCTAGCAAATAAATAAACAAACAAATAAGCAAGCTTATTACAAGGTTACAGATGACCTTTATACTAAGCAAAGGCAACATCCTTTGGTTATAACTCACTGAATGTGCAATCCAAGTCACAAACTCCTACCTTGCCAATTTGAAAAAAAAAGTAACTCAGGTACAATTTGCAACGTTTGGATGTTGGCATCACTTGCTCTAGGCAGCAGATAGATCAGTAGCCTACTTCTGTGAGGGGAAGGCGTTGTCCTTCATATCATAATATACTGTTAGTTTTGCAGTCCTACTCAGTATTTTCAGCCAATTTTAAATTGCTTACTTTCTGAACTTTAAAAATCAGGTAGGTTTTTAAAATGTTTCCTGGGTCAGAAGAATTCATTCAGTTGTGTTGCACCTATTTACCTTGTCATTTGTATCACAGTCCATCTCACAACTTGTAGAGAGGTCACACTGCAAATCAAAAAAAGAAGGCAATGAAACCAAATCTTAGAATTGATTTATTTAAATCCAGATTATGTCTAACAGTTCTATAGGCTGATAAGAACTATAAGAAAGGAAAGAGTTTCAAGAGAATTTCAGTGGTTATCCACATTCTATAACAGTAATGACGTAATAAGTTATATATGAGGCATGTTTCAACACTATTCAGAAACATGAACGTTTTCAGGTTGTGGTTGCCACCTTTGAAGCTGTGATTTGTTAAGTTAAACACACCTTACTAGTGTTAAAAGATCTTTACTGGTTCTAGTTAATGTGTGCCAAAATTCAGTTTTTGACCAACTGAGTTCTAAATGACTTTAAGTGAAGAATCTGAATCTGGGAAAAAACATAATATTATTGATAACATTATGTCTTCCAAAAATAATAAGATGGAAAAGAAATTGACAAGTCCAAGATAACTCTCATGCTGCAGTGCTTCAAGAACACTGGGGGGCTTAGCATGGAATTCTCAAAAAAAAGCTTGGACATCTCACAGAGAGGAGTGAATATTTTATCAACTCCTCACTACAGTGCCTCCAGAAAATCAAAGATGTATATATAGATGAAGATGAAATTATGGTCTCATTTGATGTCACAGCACTCTTTACATCCATAAACCCAGAACTGGCAAAAGAATCCATATCAGCAGTGCTACACAACACACCTGACCTAACCAAATACCGATAGAAGTGAATATGTGTAGCTCGGGTTTGAACTGTGGAGTCCTTGGGGTTCTCTGAGCTTGGTTGTTTTCTTGCAAACGTTTCGTTACCCAGCTGGGTAATGGGTAACAAAACATTTGCAAGAAAACAACCAAGCTCAGAGAACCCCAAGGACTCCACACTAACCAAATACACCCAGATCAAAATACCCAGAATCATGGACCTCATCAACCTCTGCCTCATTACCTATTTTCAGTTTGATGGACAAATATACCAACAAATCAGAGGCACACCCATGGGATCACCACTGTCAGGATTCATAGCAGAGATTGTAATGCAACGCCTAGGAACTATAGCACTTCCACATATACAACCTAAAGTATGGATACAACATCTTCCAACACAAACCAACTAAAGCCCTCCAAAACATCTTAAGCAAACCAAAAGACCCAGTAGCCCAAAAAGAAAAAACAGGAGTCATCTACAACATACAGTGTAAGGACTGTTGTACACTATGTAACAACCACTATGTAGGACAGACAGGCAGAAGGCTAGCAGAGCGCATCCATGAACACCAAGTAGCAGTCAGAAGACACAA